GAAACTCAGCCTGGATGTAGTTGAATTGCAATGCCCCGTCTGCCCTGGCACTAATTTTTATGACTTGTTTATGTACACAAAACATCTCAGAAGCCACCAGAATGAGGCAAACTTTCATGTGGCTTGTATGTTTTGTGATAAAACATTTCAAAACGTTACCAACTGGAGGAGGCACATCAATGTTCATCGGCTGCGTGAGGCAGAGAAAGATACTTCTGAAACTGAAGGGGCCGTAAGTTGCCCAAACCAGCCAGTGGCGTGTATGGGCGATGGACCGTCAAGCCTTGAGACAGCTGAATCTTGTGTGGAGACAACAGAGGACAGGGAAGGTACCACAGTTGTGGATAATACAGCTGTGGGCAATGATGCATCTGAGGTCCAGACTGAACCAAGCCATGGCATAGAAGATGAAGCAATGGATTTTCTTATTGACTTGAACATGAAAGGCGCATCGGAAAAGGTGTGTTCTGATGTTGCAAGTGCAGTTGCACGTTTTGCTGCCAGAGCATGCCGAGAGCAGGCTGCGGCACTATCCCATGCTGGTGGTGATATCTGCATTGACAACCTGCCAACAATAAAAACATTTCGGGACCTTCAAACACCACACAAACGAGAAAAATACATGAGAATGAACAGAGTGCTGGTTAAGCCGCGCACTGTGAAACTAAGTGGCGGTGAAAGTTACCAGTATGTGCCTCTACTGGAGCAGTTGTCTGCGATACTTTCCCATGAGAGTGTTCGGTCTCATGTGGTAAAACATAGTCCCAGTGCTGCGGATGGACACTGCTATAGATCATTCCGTGATGGCACTCTTCATTCTGACATCAATGAAGAAGTGTGTCTCAGCTTGTACTTCAATGAAATCGGGATTGCAAATCCCTTGGGAACAAAGGCCTCAAAATCAAAAGTAGGTGCATTTTACTTTGCACTGCCTGACCTACCATCTGGACGGTTGCAGCATATCTTCCTGGTCCTTTTGGTGAAGTGTTCTCTTCTGAAAAAGCATACGTTTGAAAAAGTCATAGAACCACTGATGCAAGATCTAAATTCATTTGGTACTGAAGGAGTATCGGTAGGTACCGGTGATTCAGTGCAAGTCTTCAGAGGTACAGTTCGGTTCCTGATTGCTGACAACTTGGCTCAGCATTTCTTGGGTCGCTTCAATGAATGTTTTTCTGGAGGCAATAGGATCTGCCGTTTTTGCACCATTAGTGCATCAGACATGAAATCGACCTTCAGATCATCCGCTTGCAAAAGAATAACTCAATCTGAATATGATTCCCAGGTGGCGGCACTGCAAAACTCTGAGGCAGGACAGGGTCTTCATCAGTTATACGGTTTGAAAGAGCACTGCGTTCTGAACGATCTCCCATCATTTCACATCATTGACCGGCAGCCGCCTGACATTGGCCACGATATTCTTGAAGGCGTGGGGCCCCTAGTGATTAGGTGGACATTGACGTCACTCATTCGGAAGTACAAAGTGTTGTCCGTGACGACTCTGAATGAGGTGCTGAGAAATTTTCCATATCACCGTAGTACGGATAAAAATCCACCGCAAATGGCGTCTGTCGGAACTGGTGTGTTGATAAAACTGACTGCAAGCGAATGCTTCACGTTGATTCGTTTGCTGCCACTGATGATTGGGGACACAATCCCCTCAGAGTGTCCAGAGTGGGATGCGTTTATTCGCTTGCGGGACATAGTTTTCTACTGTTGTGCTCCAACCCTGACAGATGCGGAGCTGATACATCTTCAGACAGATGTGGAAGATTGGCTTGAATCTCTTGTTGAGATATATCCTGGATGCTTCGGCATGCGCCCAAACTTTCACTATATGTTGCATTATGTCGAAGAAATCCGTCGCCATGGACCTTTGAGATTCCTATGGACCCTTCGCTTTGAAAATAAACACCAGGAGTTGAAGAGCGCACTAAAAAGCTCTCAAAATCGAATGAACCCGTGCCTTTCAATGGCGAAACGTCATCAGCTGCATCTGGCAAAAAAGCTTGGGCAGACCACCTTCATGCATACAAAAGATATTTTGTTGTTGGAAGAGCGAGTATATGCCGATGCTGGAAAGGCATCTCCCGTTATGAAGAGCTGCCGCGTCAATGGAATTCGCTATCAAGTGGATGACGTCCTGGTAGCAGCTATTCCCGAGGTCGCCTTCTCAGTGGCGGCGGAAGCAGGGGGGCAAGGGGGGCAGCTGCACCCTAAAGCTATGGAAAGGGGCGCCTCGAAAATCTGTAGAGGAGGCAGGAAGTTAAGAGGTGCGGCAGCCATAAAGCTGAGCAGTGCGAGGCGACACCACAACTGATAAAGGCACTTGTGACACGAAGAGGGTGGCAATGACGTGGGAAAAGTATCTTTTGATATGCTGAAGAGTGGAGGGCATCCTTATCTGAAACAAAGGCAGATGCTGCCGACCCTGGCCCGATTTCACCAAGTGAATATATTCTTGGTGTACTTTGGAAAAGTACACCGACAAAGTACGACGACAATACTATTCTGTTTCACCGCAGGAATATATTCACTACGCCCGCTTTACGTAGTTTGAGAGCCACCGGCGCGCATGCATACAGCTTGTCGGGGACATGCATTCACTATGTATATTTTTCCGTATTTAAAGTCGACGAGCTTAAATGCTCAGATATACATACAACATTATGAAAAAAAAATCTGGCTACGCTAATAAAAATTAAATTTGCTGATCATACAAGAGGAAGTGCCTAAGAAAATATTGCTAATAATGCTCTTGATTTTTGCTCGGAGCATGACATTCCAAAGCCAAAATGTAAACAATCGGCAGCAAGCCGCGCAGCACAGTTGAAGTTACTGGCGTGTGTGGGTTTTATTGGATTTTGAATTGATATTAATTTTTTCTTCCAAGTTACTTCTCATTAAATATTGCTTTAATATTTGTTCACATCTTCTACGCAATTCTGGAGTGGTTTAGAGCAAATATAAATAAAGCCGAACAAGAAATGGCATTACTTGAGGCACCTATCTAACTACCGATCACTGATGGTAGCAAGGAGCACGGCCAACTAGCCGACAAGTTATCTGAAATATTACCTGAATCAAGTTTTTAAATAATCGAAGGGTCTACCGACGACTTCAAATATGGAGAATATTTCGGAATCATTCTCTGAACCTAAACGGAAGCGGGAAGCCGGTGATAAATTGAATCATTTGGCCACAACACAAGAGAAATATGGACATTGGACAGCATATGGATACTGCAAAGAAATAGTAAAAGTGGGCGACGAAAACGAATGTAATGAAGCGTTGTGACTTGTGATGCAACATGCTGGGCATGTCAATCAAGGCGTTGCTAGACTGGACTTCATTTCTTCCTCTCGCCCTCGCCAGCTATTTACTTTCTCTTCGGTAAAACGCTGTATAAAGAGCACGGTGTAATAATCACGGTGATAAAGATTTGAAACGCTTTTGGCCTTTTGTGTTATCAAAATACAATGTGAACTGTCGTTTTTTTTTTGGAAGTGAAAAACTCTAATGTAATCGGGAATGCGAATGAAAAAGGGAATTCCCTGTTGTGTTTCTGCATGATGGGGTGATTTTAATCGCAGTGATGCCACGATGAGATAAGCCTTATAAAAATAGCTGTTCTGGGGTTTAATTTCAATATAAGCCCTGACACACGATACCCTATATATCCAGCAAGAAATAACCATTATGACCTCTAAAACTTTTTGCGTAGCCCGTGGCATGTTTTTATCATACGTTGCATCGATGAAGTCATTAAATTTGTAACATTATCATACAAAAAAATTGATGTATGCCAAGCTGTTTCTCAAAGTATGCCACAAAAAGTAGCATACTTTCAATGCCAGCAAACTCGGCAAACAGCTGTTGAAAAAGCAGATCGGCGTACCAGAAGTCCCTCAAACGTCTTTGGCACACCTTATCATACATCTGTTCTACATACGTTGTGAAAATTTCAGACCCAGGTCACTTAACGTCAGCTCACCAGATCAGTTCAAGTGACCTCACTACATCGAAAGTTTCAATGTCTGCTAAAGCTACACCGAGTGACCGATCGCTTTGAAACTTTCAGAGATTAGCCCGCGCCCTGCTGGGGGTGTTTAAACACCTCTCTTGTGTTTTTTCGCGAATATTTCAAAAACGGCGGCGCGGAGCGCCGCCTTTTTTTTGGTACACCTTATCATGCATCAATTCTACACATGTTGTTAAAATTTCAGACCAAGGTCATTCAAGGTCAGGTCACCAGGTCACTTGAAGTGACCTCACCTCATAAAAAGTTTCAATGTCTGCCATAGCTACACCGAGTGACCGATCGCTTTGAAACTTTCAGCGATTGCTAAGAGCAATAGCATGTACAAAATGTATATCTCAGAATTTTGATATCGATGACCTAAGGTCAGGTCAATTTTGCGACCTCCCCATTATAATTCAAGGGGAGAAAATTGAAATGCGCGTGTTACAGAGGTTCTTTTATCACACATGTCCCGTGCACATATGTTTTGTGATGATTAACGTATTGAGGTCGGGCAAGACGAGAGAACGAGGGTGAAGAAAATATATAGAAAAATGAGAACGAGGCCATTAAGTTGTTTTAAGAAAGTTAAGCGAAGTTAAGATAAATAAAGCATTAAGTTAAAAAGCTAAGCGTAACACAACGCGAGGAAATAACCATTAAGACTATCCGAACATTTGGTGCCAGTGAACACGGATGAAGCAATGCCGGGAAAAAGACAGAGAAGTAAGAAGACCGGAGGTGAAGAAATGAACAATACCAGCAACACTTCTGTAAACCCTGAGGAATCAATGATGGAAGCCAGTGTGCCTCATAGTTTGTATAGGCGAAAGCAAAAGTTAGTGACGCAGATACGTAACGACGAGTGTGAATTACATGCTATGCTCATAGAGGGAAACGCATCAATCTCAGTCATACAAGCACTGATTGCCAAGCTGGGAGAGCTAACGACACAGTTGTTGGACATATTAGAAACTATGCAAGATGAAGATAACTCAGAAGACGGCTCATCTGTGCGATCAGGACCTCTGTGGAAGAATTATGAAGCTCTAGAGAATGACATCGCTGATTCGGTCTCGCTAGCAAATAAATACATTCGCCAAAAGATATCAGAGAACACAGATCGTTCAGATTCGCACAGCTCCAGTGGTTCAGTGAAAGAAGTTGAGAAAGTAGAAGCGTGCACGATTCCTGGTTTGAAAAAGCCTGAGCTGCCAGTCTTCAGTGGGGATCAGATGCAGTTTAGTGACTGGTCGGAGATGTTTAATGCATTCGTCGACAGCGAGAAAATACCGGCTAAGTTCAAGATTATGTATGGTCACTTTTCGGATTATTCTCTGGGATAATAATATCTAACTCACAAGTCCATATATTTCGGATGATATTGCTCACCCTTGGTCACTGGACAAAATAAAAATCTTGGTTTTGTCCAGTGGTTTTTATTTTGTCCAGTGACCAAGGGTGAGCAATATCATCCGAAATATATGGACTTGTGAGTTAGATATTATTATCCCAGAGAATAATCCGAAAAGTGACCATACATAACTAATTTCCTGGGAAAAATGACATTAAAACAACATAAGTTCAAGATGATTTACATGAAAAACTATCTCGCGGGAGAGCCTCTGAGAATTGTAGAAAGGTACAGACCCACAGAAACGGGATATGCAAAGGCGAAAGAAGAGTTAGACAAGAAATACGGTGGAAAAATGTTCAAAATCCGAAACGAGCTTGATTCAATAAGACGCACGCGGCCGATTCAAGTGGATGAAACCAAGCGGCTAGAAGAATTCTCTGACAGAGTGACAAGTTTAGTGACAAACTTAAAGGAAAGTGGATGCGTGTCAGATCTCACAAACACGTCTGCATACTACTTACTTGTTGTAGAGAAGCTCCATCATTTCTACGTGAAGAACTACAACAGATGGCTAAGCACTGAGCACAGAGAAGACAACTTCGAGTCATTCGCCGAGTGGCTGACAGATGAAGCGCTATTCGAGAAAAGAGCAAAGCAAATGACACAAACCACGAGCAGCATGCCAAACACTCGACATCAGCAAAGGAAGACATTCCGAGTGAAGACCCAGAATCAACATCAGCCAGCAGTGCGGCAGTCCTTCAGTCCGCCGTCAGATACAAACTGCATGGTTTGTCAAGCTGATCACGCCTTGGAGAGCTGTGCTGTTTTTCAGAGCTGGACAGTGGGCAAAAGATACGAGTTCTGTAAGCAGACAAGAATCTGTTTTAGATGTCTCGCCGGACAACATCGTGGAATAAGATGCCACCGGTTTCCTGGATGTCAGTTAGAGGGGTGTGGAGGAAGCCACCACACCTTACTGCATGCCAGTCTGCGACAAGATAAGCAACTGGAACAGAGAGGACGGCTGAAAGAGCAGCACCGACAGACGGAGAACACAAGTCAGAACCGTCAGACTACGAGCCATCTACCTCAGCAAGGTCAACTAGAACAGAGCGGACAGTTGAGCTGGTCACAATACCGCCAAGAAGGAGCTCACAGCAGTGGATGTCAGCCATCGCGCAACACGCCAAACACCACCAGCAGTAGCAGTAGCGGGAACACACAAAGCTCCGGAATAACCTACAATACGGCAGCCTCCAGATCACCACCAGGAAAAGAAGCGACCGCATTCCAGACAGTTCCAGTGCGCGTGCACCACAACGGCCGTTCGGTTACCCTCAACGCGCTACTGGACCCATGTTCTGACGCATCATTCATCAGTAAAGCAGCTGCATCCGAGATCGAATTCAATGGAACGAGCCAAAAGTTTGAGCTGGGAACGGTGACCGGCACACAAGACGTCACTATGAAAGCAGGTTCTGTGAAGTTATCCAGCCTGCACAGCAGTTATGAAGCCGCTCTGAACGTGTTCGTCATACCCAGTTTAGACGGAGCATCTGTGGGCATAAACTGGAACGACGCTAAGAAGAAGTGGGCGCATCTGCGACACATCCAATTCCCGGAGATGTCAAGAAGTCGTGGGGTCGATCTGCTGATAGGAATCAGCGCCGATACGATGCCCCTCTTCGTGCCACTGGATACTGTTCTTGGTACGACCGGAGAGCCAGTGGCAGTGCTCACACCGCTCGGTTGGACAGCGTTCGGCTGTATCGAAAGAGCAGCTGAAAACACCAGTGAAGATGTGTTGTAATAGAATTGTGCTATGAATTAGTAGAACGTAGCGTGCCTTGTGTGTGTATTGTGCGTGTGTGCTTATGACCGTGTTTGTGTGGGCGCGCCGAGGCCGTGGGACCGGCGGGCCGCATTTCCTGCGCCTGCGGCGCTAGTTTTATGGCGCACAGCTGTGTGTGCACTGTGGACCGCCGGCCGGGCTCGGGCGCGCGGCGGCAGTTGGCGCCGCGACACGATGACGTAAGGAATACAGCGTGTGAGAGGTGGCTCGGTTTTCTACAAGCTATTTCGGCATTGTGTGAGAGACAGAGAGTAAGAGCCATGAAGGACGAGAAAAGTGCGCCTGAGAGTGGAGTGAAGCCGGCGAGTACGGCGGACGCTGCAGCCGATCTCCGACTCATACCTGAGTTCGACGGAGCGACTCAGCCTGTCACAGAGTGGCTGGAGAAGGTGGAGCTGGTGTGCCGTCTACGTGGCATCGACGCGCTGCACGTCGTCGTTCCCCTCCGCCTAACTGGCGGGGCGTTCGCTGTCTATCAGCAGCTGGACGAGCAGGACAAGGCTGGCTACGAGACCATCAAAAATGGCCTGATTTCGGCTTTCGCAGAGGATAAGTTTGACGCCTATGACCGGTTTGAGAAGATGAAGCTCCGTCGAGGTGAGCCGGTGGATGTCTTCGTTGCAGAGCTGCGTCGCCTGTCCGGCCTGTTTGGCGGTATGTCAGACGGCGGCCTAGCCTGCGCGTTCGTGGCAAAACTGCCGGAGACCACCCGCCGTGTGCTTCGTGCAGGAAGCCGCGTCGAAAGCATGACGCTGAGCGAGCTAATCAGCCGGGCCCGAGCTGTGCTCGCCGATGAAGAAGAGACTGCCATGGCAGGAGCGACGGGAGCAGCAGCGCGGACGTCGGCGGCGCCACCCCGCGTGACCTGTCACTCATGCGGACAGCCCAACCACCTGTCGCGGGATTGTCTCGCTGCTCGCGGTCAGCGGGAGCGCGGCGGGGCCCGCGGCGGTCGGCGCAGTGTGCGCTGCTTCCGCTGCAACCGGCCCGGTCATATCGCCTCGTCCTGTCCGGAAAACGACGGCGGAGAGGAGGGCTCGGCGCCAGCCTCCTCTCCCGGTCTCCAGTGAGCGGGGCGCTGCCCGTTGTGCGAGTATCGGTGGACGGCGCCACCTGTGACGCCCTGCTGGACACGGGATGCAGCTTGTGTGTAGCGCACGTGTCGGTGTGTCGAAATTGGAATCGAGACGCAGTGAGCGTGATGACGGTGAGCGGTGACCGATACTGGTGCGAGGGAACGGGTGTCGTGGAGGTGCGATCGCAATCTGGCGAATCGGTATCAGTGCGCGTGCTTGTGGTGTCACGGAAGCCGCTGGGCTTTGAGTTTATCCTGGGGATGAACGGCGTGAGTGCACTGGGTGGCGTGACGGTGAGTGCGGAGAACCATGTGAGGTTCGGAGCTGAAACGACCGGGGTGGCGGCGGTGGCCGAGAGACGGGTGTCCGAGACGGCGCCGGCGGCAGCAGGGGCGGCGGCGGTGGCCGAGAGACGGGCGCCCGAGACGGCGCCGGCGGCAGCAGGGTCGGCGGCGGTGGCCGAGAGACGGGCGCCCGATACGGCGCCGGCGGCAGCTGGGACGGCGGCGGTGGCTGAGAGACGGGTGCCTGAGGCGGCGCCCGTGGCAGCTGAGACGGCGGCACTGGCCGAGTCGACTGCACCCACCGAGGCGGCGGAATCTGGGTCAGCGGCAATTGGGGCCCTGACAGTGACCGAGACGCGGGCAATGGCGGCGCCGGAGGCGGCGGCGGGTATATGGCGCGAGGAGGAGAAGGACTTTATTGTGAGCTACGATGAGAGCCAGAAAAAGTGGTCTGTGCAATTGAAATGGTGTGGGGATGAGCCAGGGCAGTTGTTCAACAAAGCGGAGGAGTACTCAATACCATCAGAGGCCAGGCAGGAGTATGAGCGACAGCTCACAAAGTGGGTGACAAACGGATGGCTTGTTCCCTATGACGAGCGTGTCCACGGACAGGCAAAGGGCACAATACCGCTGATGGCGGTGATTCAGCCGAACAAAGACAAAGTGCGCCCGGTCATGGACTTCAGAGAGCTGAATGAGTATTTGGACTCGCATACGGCTGCCGCAGACGTGTGTAGCGAGAAAATTCGCGAGTGGCGCCGGTTCGGACGGAACGTGTCGCTTCTGGATCTCAAAGACGCCTACCTGCAGGTGCATGTGAGCAAGTCTCTGTGGCCCTACCAGACTGTTGTGTTTCAGGGCAAAAGGTGGTGTCTGACGAGACTAGGGTTTGGAATCGGCTGTGCGCCGCTGGTGATGAAAAAAGTGCTCAGCATGGCTCTCGGGCTGGACCAGAGAATAGACAGCGCGACATCCTCCTACGTCGATGACATATTTGTGAATGAGGAGGTCGCCACCGCAGCTGAAGTGAAGGCCCATCTCGAGAACCATGGCTTGGACTGCAAAGCGCCAGAAAGTGTGATCGATGGTGCCCGTGTGCTTGGCCTAAGGGTCTGGGGGGAGCGAGACGGGCTGTTCTGGAGGCGTGACAGAACCGACATCAGCCCGCCCCCTAAACTGACGAGACGGGCAGTCTTCTCTCTGTGCGGACGACTCACCAGTCTTGTTCCTGTGGCCGGCTGGCTCCGCGTGGCCGCGTCATATCTGAAGAGGCGTGTCACCGCTGTGTCCAGTGGATGGGATGACGAGGTCACTGACCCGGAGCTCTGTGCAATGGTCATTGAGATGGTGGAGCGTGTGAACACATCTGACCCCGCGCGGGGCCGGTGGGATGTCTCTGGAGACGGCGGAGGTGTGGTGTGGGTCGATGCCAGCTCCCTCGCCATCGGGGCCGTGCTGGAGATCAACGACTGCGTCGTTGAAGACGCCTGCTGGCTGCGGAAGAGCTCGGACACCCACATCAATCTCGCAGAGCTAGATGCTGTGATTCGAGGGCTCAATCTGGCACTGTCCTGGAATTTGAAGAATGTGACGATCATGACCGACTCGCGAACCGTCTATCACTGGCTGTCCGACGTCCTGTCTGGCAGAGCCCGTGTAAAAACCAAGGCAGCGAGCGAGATGCTAATTCGGAGACGTCTTGAGACAGTGAAGAAGCTGGGTGAAGAATATGCCATGCAACTCTGCGTGAAATTCGTCCCATCGGCTGAGAACCGGGCCGACGCGCTCACGAGAGTGCCAAAAAAGTGGCTGACCCCGCAGGGCGCGTCGATGGTGTGCGGTGCCGTCGTCACAGAGCCCGACATCGCACGGATTCACCACACCAGCGGCCATCCTGGCATCACACGAACCCTGAGACTATGCAGGAGGCAGAGCTCTGACGTCACCAGAGCTCAGGTGCGTGCCGTGATCCGCCAGTGTCAGGCGTGCCAATCGGTCGACCCTGCGCCGCAGCGCTGGGTGCGCGGCACGCTAGGGGTGAACGAGTGCTGGGAAAGAGTGAGCATGGACGTCTGCCACGCCGACAATCAACTCTACCTGACCCTAGTGGATTGTGGGCCGTCTCGCTACGCGATCTGGAGGCGCCTAAAGCGACAGGACGCTGAGAGTGTCATCGCGCAGCTCGAGTCAATCTTCCTGGAGCGAGGCGCTCCCACTGAGCTGCTGACGGATAACTATCCATCGTTTCGAAGTGCCGTGTTCAATGAGTTCGTCAGTCGGTGGGGAGTCTCCGTTCGATACCGAGCAGCTCATGTCCCGTCCGGTAACGGCATCTCGGAGCGCAACCACCGCTCCATCAAAACGTTAGCGGCCAGAAAGAAGTGTTCGGTGGTGGAGGCGGTGTATCGCTATAACGTGATGCCACGCGCGGAGGATCAGAGCTCCAGCCCCATGGAAACGCTGTTTAATTACCGAGTGAAAGTCCCAGATGTAGACACGCCAGCTGATGCCGATATCAGCCGCTTTACGGTCGGGGACAAGGTTTGGGTCAGGGACCCGAGCCGCCGCTGTGACGTGGCCAGTTCACTTGGGACGGTGAGCCGTATTGTGTCTGTACAGTGTGTTGAGGTGGATGGAGTGCCGCGCCATGTGCGGGACCTGAGGCTGGCCGTTCTCCCACAGCCGGCCGAGGGCAGGAGTCCGCCGATCAGTGAGAGTGACGACGAGGGCGCCCCAATTATCTTTTATGAGCAGCGTGTCACTCCCGACGCTGCGGCTCGAGGCGAGTCGGAGGGGGCCTCGCACGATGGCGAGGAGTCGGCAGCTGCTCGCAGGAGCACGCGGGAGCGGCGTCCCGCTACACTGACGCAGTATGGTGATTTATAAATCAGGGGGGAGTGTAATAGAATTGTGCTATGAATTAGTAGAACGTAGCGTGCCTTGTGTGTGTATTGTGCGTGTGTGCTTATGACCGTGTTTGTGTGGGCGCGCCGAGGCCGTGGGACCGGCGGGCCGCATTTCCTGCGCCTGCGGCGCTAGTTTTATGGCGCACAGCTGTGTGTGCACTGTGGACCGCCGGCCGGGCTCGGGCGCGCGGCGGCAGTTGGCGCCGCGACACGATGACGTAAGGAATACAGCGTGTGAGAGGTGGCTCGGTTTTCTACATGTGTCATGCCTGAAAAACATGTCAAACTTTGCAAAAACCCTGTGAACACATGTGAAGAAAAGAGTGTTTGAAGATGAGGTCCAGATCATGCAGTCAATGACTGACTTGGAACTGATGCAGGTGAAGTCAAGCGAAGAGCATCTTCTCTCACGTGAAGAACAGACTGCAG